AGTTGCTGACACCTGCTGCAAGTGCATTATGTTTTCTAACTTCTAATTATTAATTATGTGTGCGCCATAGAGTAACCCCCTTTTAAGTATTATAGTGTACATCTATGGTGCGCACACATCGCATATTGGCCAGGCCTAAAACTATGTATAATAATTGAAGACATCTCAAGACTCCATTAAATCAAGGAAAAGAATGAATAAAATCAATTATCACTTAGCCATATTTGGCAAGATTGGCTATGGCTTGAGCCACAGACTAGAATAGTCATAATTGTAATTAATAAAACATTATGAATGAAACGTGGGATTCTAGAGCCTGATATATCAGACACATTTTTTATTATTATCAGAAAAAGTACATTATGAATCATTTCTCATTCAAGTAGGCTATCCAAGCTGGCATTCGAACCTTTTCGATTGATCGTACATATAACATTTCGATTTCCTTTGAGTTTTAAACAATAATTGCAATCTAAAGTTTTTAGATTTAGCTGGCTATGAACAAATCGTTCTTTTACTTAATAACATAGTACTTAATAACATAGGCCTAAACTGAAATAGAACATAAAGGCTGATATTAAAATACTGAAAAGGTATGGGTTGGACACAGATAGGCCTAATGTAATTTGAGTGTAGAAAAGATGTAGTTGCTTTTTAGTTGTGTCACGTTTGATTTGCTCAGCAGTTATACTGTCTTTTTAAGACTATACCATTCGTTTATATGTCATATCTTTCGAAACTGATCTACAGCAAGGGAGTCAGTTAAGCAAAATTTGTTTTAAAAAGTCACCAATTTACTTCAAAACTAAGAGTGATCTAACAAATGAAATATCCCTACATATTTTCTAGTTGGAAACAGTTGGCGATTTGGGTTGTTTTTTTTTGTTGCTTGTAATACTGTGAAGCAGTTTAGCGGGTTTTTTTCGATAAAGGTGAAATGTATACTGAGAGGGAATGCACTTCACTTTTGCCTTTCAGTTAGAGAAAAAATAATTTTGTTCAAATTATTCATATTAATATACTCTTCATCATTCCGTGCTAATTGTAACGCTTATATAGGTAATTGAAACACCACCTAATTTACCAGTAACCAATTGAACATTCAAATTACTTCCGTTCGTTGGCAAGTTGTTGCTTGCTGTCAACAACTGGAAGTTTCAACTCAGATGCGGATACCCTGGTCCCCTGAACCTACTGGTGAATGTCTATTTAGATATAAATATATAGATCTATGTGTTTCACTTACGTTGATTTTTGGAGAGGGCCTT